CTCTCCTTTAGAGCTTGCAGTGGAAAGCGGTCCCACCTGTGGCGCCTGCCTGATCACACTCGCTGCCCCCGAACTCCCGGGGTAGGGTAGGAGGTGGATGAGGAAGGGTACGGGTTTGTGGGGCTTGAAGCAAACACATTGTTGGACGCCCTTCAAGAAAAAGGATACAAAATTAGAAATATGATATTAGGAACCAAGTGAATATTTACTTGCAGTGACAACAAATTAAAAATTTCCAAAAGCTGACTACAAACGTCAAAGAACCAGAAAAAATTTTTAATTAACTGCCTAGCCACGCATATGTTATTCCTGTATCTTCAGCTTTATACCTTTTGACTCCCTCTTTATTTGACAATTGTGTACTATATTTTCTCCAGTGAGAATGAATAACTTGGTATTTCCTCTAGCGTGGTTAGCACAAATTTTTGAAACAAAATTTAGAAAAGTTAATTTCAGTTTCACAGTCATTGGTAATAACGTGGCAATTTTCAATGTTTTTAACTCTGAGGCAAGTTTTGTCAAGAATTTCTTCTGTGAGCTGTAAGATTTCAGGGCATGTCAAGTTTTCTTGGGCAGTAATGAACCTTAACTCTAAACTGCGGAAGGTCACTGATGTGTTAATTCTTTGTTGTGAAAGTTGAGATCTAGATTATCTTTGTAGATGCCAGTATTTCATACCAAATCAACTAGGAATTTTAGAAAGTTTCAGTATGTTTATAGGTTTGTTCATTTTTCATCAGCCAATTTATCAGAAAATCTGTCTATTCCTCTATTAAAATTTATTTCTTCCACTCAATTACTGATTTTGGTTTGATCTGAAAAAGTTTTTTTCTTCCAGTTCATGTTTGGATGTCTGACTTCTGTTGATTTCAAATAGAAATTGGTAAAAGATAATTTTATGATGTTGATATAATTGTATACATTGCATTGTTAAATATATTCCTGAAGAAGAAAACTTCCATTTTGACTAGACATTGATGAGACTAAATCCTTACAATTTACTGCATCGGAGGGTTGGAAGGAATTAACAGGCTCTACTGTGCCCAGAATTCTGGTGCGTCCTGTAACAGGACAGGTGCATATCATGACACATCCTCTTAATGCACTTTGTCTCAGATGCCAGGTGAGTCATCTCTGTGGGCAATAGAAGCATTCCTGGAAGCCATTTGTATACCAAGATGACTAGCAAAAACATATGAACCCTAGACCCAAACAGTGTATGCCCAAGTCAGTTTCTCCTTAGTGAGATACCTCCTCAAAGTGCCACCTGATACAAAGGAAAATGTGACAAAGGGAAGTTGGAGTGAAAAAAGACAGCAATCTTCACTATAGGTAAAATATATTACTTTTGCAAATTTTACAAAAGAGTGGACCATGTGAACACATTACAAGGGTCCATTCCAGGGCCTTCAAAAGGGTCAGTGCCAGGGAAGAGCTTCCTGTCAGAGGTGACCCTGTATACCCCACTATTGTAGCGAGATTGTCTCTAAAGTCTTCTTTCTGGAGGGTCCCACTTCAGGCCTGTCCTCACTCTCTGCCTCCCCAAAAATCACTCTCTGCACTTGCTGGTTCATTCTCATCCTTCTCCATGCCTCGGTAAGTTTGGAATTGAAAGTTCATAAATTCTCTTCCTACAAGGAAGTGGCTAATTGTGCAGCCCATTATTTTGTTGTAACAGGTGTGCCCAAGTACTGACAAGTCAACCACTCAAGAACATTCCCATGTAGGGTGGATTCTGCCTTTTCTACCTCCTCTGCAACCACAGCGTCCATAAAGGTACAGGTCCATCTGGCTGTGCTTCTCAGGAACAGCTCTTCTGAGGACTCAAAGTAAGGGTTCTTTACCAACCTGGTGAACCACTAATGGTCTTACTGCATTTCGGGCTGTTTCCTCCATGCTATTGGGTAGAATCCAGAAGCTTCTATCTGAACTCATTATTTTCACTAGAGGTCTCTGCTGAGTTCTCCATGTCTCCTGAGTCTCAAATCTTGAGCCCCTGCTCCCCCAAACTGCATTTCTCATAATTGCAGAGCAGATTACTTAAGGTTCAGTATTAGACATTCTGTTCTTAAAAATTCTTTGGCTATTTCTACCACAGGCCATTGCAATTTTTCACTGGCAACCTTTCTTCCTTGGTCCCCCTGCCTTCTGTTGCCCTGAAAGCTGTTTCTCTCCTAGATCATACCCCTCATCCTCTTACAGTTTTGTGCTTCCTCTTCCTCCCTACCTTTCCTAAATCTACACAGTTCAGCCACAGCCAGATATTTCTTACCCTGAGGAATTACAATGTCAGTTTTAAAGCAATCGTTTTTTAATGGAATGTCCCAGGGCCCTGGGGTCAGGGCAGCATGATCCCTTAGAGGTGGAAAGACTACGTCCTGGCTGGGGAGACAGCGCCATCTATTGCCCACTGAGAGACAACTGCCAAACACAGCTGAAGGACCCTCTCTGCATTCTTGTTCTAGCTGGGTGGCAGATAACGTAGCTAAGAATAGAAGTACAGTGGACTTGAAATGGTGATGAGACATTCAAGCATGCACTGGAATTTAAACAGTAAGGAGATCAAGGTCATGGATAAAGATCTGGATGGCATCTGGACTTAGGGACACTACAGGACCTGCATAAGTTTAACCATGAAGTGGTAGAGAAAGCTGATCTGGCCTGTCTGCTTTTGAAGTCCTGGTAGATTCACCTCATTGTGCTAGGAGTGAGTAGAGCTCCCTTTATGGGTAGTCAGGGCTGAAAGGGAAACCCAGGAGCCAGCAAAGAGAATTTCAAGGAAGGCACTGCCTCTTGTTTGACTTTTCAAAGTTGTCAGTTTGGATTTGGGCTGAGAAAACATCACTAGGATGCGAGTTTAGGATTTAGTTGGAGACTTTTGAAAGAGTGGCTTAAGATGTCCAACACTGTTCTAGGCACTGGAAGGTATGCAAAGATAGAAAGACAGAGTACTGTCTCTGATGGAGCTAAGCATGAGCTAAAGTCAGGGAGTTGGCAAAAATTAAATGGTAATACATTAGGCAGTGGTTCTGTTAAGGGAGTGATGCATATAGACTTTAAGCCCCTCTGATATCTGTGCAAATCAGAATGGGCCCCTTCACTTCCTGGGGGTCAGTGCTGCTCCGTGCCAAGGTCCACGGCTTAGTAAGCTGACTGCGGGCTGGGTTTCAGCCCCTACTCATCCACTCAGCTGGTTGCTCTTACTCAATGAACAACCTGCCCAAATGAAATGGAAGCCCTGGAACGATGAATAATGCATAGTTAGGAAGGTTTCATGCAGGAAACTGGGTCATGAGCTGGGCTGAAACTGATGTAAAGAGTTTACAGCACCTGCAAGGAAGAGGTAGGAGACCTTCTCTGCCGATGTCAAATAAGAGACAGGAAAGAAGTGATGAAGGAGAAGGAAAAGATGCAGATCACCTGACTCCTGGCTCCAATAAAAAATGGGCAAAATGAGGTAAGCTCACCCATTGAAAAAAATTATAGAACACTTGCTACATGCAAGGAGCTATGCTAAATAGGCTGTGAGGCAGGGGAAGAATAATAACCCCTAACACTTGTGTGTGTCAGTTAGTTGTTTAGGAAGCACATCCCAGCTTTTGATCCACTTTCCTGTGAAGATTGTGGCTGTCTCAGAACATGTAGTTCCAAATCTCTAGAAATAGAAACATAATCCAGATCTTTTGACTAGTCCAGAATCCCTTTCATTCTAGCCACTGATTCTTTATCTTCTTAAACATCTGTTAAGTAAATGTTTAAATAGATGATATACTTATTTGGTTCCAAATTAAAAAGGTACAGTGGAACATAAAGGAAAGTCTCCCACCTACCCCTGTTCTATAACCATTCAGACACCTACTTTCAGCATCGTTTTAATTTGCACTTCCTTCTTGTGAGTGAGATTGAGCAACTTTTCATAAGTGTTAGAGACATTTTGTATTTTTTTTCTATGATGGGTCTGTTCATTTCCTCTACTCACTTTTCTACTTGGTAGTTAATTCCTTTTTTTCTTTTGTAAGAGCTTTCTACGTATTAGGGAAATTAGCCCTTTGATTTTGATGATAGTTGTAAATGTGTTTTCTTTGTGCATTTTCATTTGGTCATCTGTCTCTTGGCATTGCTTTTGTAGTTTCTTTTTTCATACAGATCTTTATAAATGTTGTTGAATTTATCTGTCTTTCCTTGTATGATGTTTACAGTTGAATCATCCTTAAACTAGTGTTAACTTAAATACAGTGGATCCCCGCCTTCAAGTTGCTCAATTAGCCAGCAGGGAAATCAAGAAAAATATGTAAATAACTCTAGTAGTTACCATATAGTCAGTACTCTTCTTCTGTCTATCTAGAATCCAGTTGTCTGCCCATTTGTCCATTCACCCATCCATTTTCAAGACTTTACCAAACTCTTTCTAAAAGACAACACTTTGTGGTGTTGAAGCATATGGGCTAGGGTGACAGACATCCAGATCTGGACCCTGGCTCTGTTTATCCTCCTGTGGCCTTGGACAGGTTACTTAATCTCTCTACATTTTTGTTCCTCAAATTGTCTCATGAGCTATAACAGAAATGTGGAATGTGGAGAGGTCAAGGATTAGAGACTGAAGAACAGACATGGTAGTGTGTGACTAGCAACAGAGAGAGCTGTAAGATGAGCCAATGCTTGGATTTGTGACTTCAGACAAGATCCAGAGAATGGGCATTTGGGTAGGTGGCAAAAATAAAGGTCATTGGCTGTGAGCATATCAAGGAGCCTAAGGGCCTCAGTGTTAGACGTCATCTACACAGTCCTGGAAATCACCTAGGATCATGGCAGGACGTGGGGAAAGCCTGTGGGCCTCATGCACAAATATCCTCAATGAATTAAGAAAGGTGGCAGCCAGGGAATGTGGATAAAAGGTCCTTTTATCTAGCTCTGGACATCATGCTTGGGGGTGGGGTGGGGTGGGGTGGTGGTATGGGGTGAGGAAGATGCCTACCTCACCTGTGACCCTGAGATTTGAGGAGCTGTCTCCTTTGAGAGGAAAGCCACAGAACCGTGACTTTGAGGAAAGTGACATGTTGGTAGCAACCCACATAGCAGCCAAGTGGGCTGAAGAAGGAGATGCAGAGTGAGGCTTTAACAAGAATCTCCGACCTTTTAAAGCCTTGCCTGGCAGCCCTTATTAGCAGGGCCCCTGTGGGCTCTGCCAGTGTCGGTGCTGAGACAAACCTGACTAGAGGGAAACTGGAAGACAGTGGGGTAGACAGTTGACATTCCAGTGTCATGAACAGATGCCACAGCTCTGTGACACCTGGATCCCAAGGTACCATAAGCTGTGGTTCTGGGAGGGCTTCATTCTGTGAGTTGACTCTCAGTTTGTGTCATATTTACATAGAAAGTGCCAACACTTTCTTCCTTCTCTTGCATAAACAGGCCACACCTTGCACCAACCAAAGTCCACCTCATCTTTCAGCTGCCCTAGGTCAGTCACTCAGCCACAGGAGTTTCATCTTCCGAGAAATTCAGTGTTTCTAGGAGAGGATGGACCTCTTCATCTCTCCCCTGATGTTACTGAGACGTGAGCATTTATAACTAGTACAGTTTAAAAAGAACCGTTCACCTGCTGGCCATCTCTCCAGATCTGGAGCCTGAGAGAGTTGTAGCAGAAGAAACTGAGGTAGGATATTAAGAGAACTTTCAGGGAGGAGGACTAGGGAAGAGGCTTGGGGATGAGGGACTGAGAGTGGCTGCACCATGCTTAAGGGAAGTAGTGGTGGGGACTACTTCCTTCTTTGGGTTGTCTTTGGCAATGATTTGAAAGGAGGGGAAAGTTGCCTTGGAACATTCCACAGGTCTCTGGTCTGCCCTATGTCCTGTTCTCTTCCTCTTTCTCTTTTACTGTGGAATTGTTTAACCCTAGGAAGTATGCTGACTGTGATCCTTAGGTCACAGAGATGCTGATGCAAGTAGTTGGTGGTGGTAGTTCATAGCAGGAGCCAATTCCTCAAGGGTCACCATGAACCTTCTGGGATCCCAGTGTGGGAGAGGACACTCCAAACTCCCTCCAAATTCTCTCAACTGAAGGGACATCAAAGAAGTCTTTACATTTTTAAGTTTGTGATGCTCTAGTTTCTGGCCTGACACTCTGGCCTTTTAATTTTGAGCTGTAAAAATATTCACAGAAAGTTCTAGAGAGGAAAATAAAGTTGGTTTTTGAATCACCTGCTTCCTCCAGGCTAGTGAAAAATAGTTATTTCAAGTTAGTAATTACAATGAAACCAGAGGGTGCATATCAAAGCTGACAAGATATTTCTGCAGCTCATGGGGAATCGTGGCTTTTGTGTGGCCCATGCCCCGCTCAAGAGATGGAGAACAGCCAGTTGCTTAAAGTTGGAGGGCCAAGTCACGTCCTCCAGGCTGCTCCATGTCTGCCTCCTGGCTGGGCCATCTTATCTGGACTGTCTATGTGGCAGGCCCTCAAAGTCCCAGTGGAGAAGGAGGCCCTATAGACAGGAGGCTGGCAGTGTGGGGTAAAGCCATGGTCCCTTTGCGGAGGACAGCCGGGAAGAGGGCGTCTGCCCCATCTGCCAGGAGCATCTGAAGGAGGCAGTGAGCACCGACTGCGGACACCTCTTCTGTTGAGTGTGCCTGGCGCAGCATGTGGAGAAGGCCCAGGCCTCTGGAGTCCTCTGCTGTCCCCTCTGCCGGAAGCCCTGTTCCGAGGGGGTGCTGGGGGCAGGCTATGTCTGCCACATCCACCAGAAGAAGGTGTGCTGGTTCTGTGAGGAGAGCAGACTTCTTCTCTGTATGGAATGCCTGGTGTCCCCTGAACACAAGTCTCACTGTGAGCTGGCCATTGAAAATGCCATCAGCCACTATAAGGTAAGGCCAAGTCACCACTTCCTGGAGTCACTCCCTCCCACCCCCTGTCCACCATGCTTGGCATGTCACAGAGGCTCAGTAGCTGTCACTTTTCTTTGTTTCTTCTGTTTCATCTTATTTTGGATCCTTGTCTTTGCTTTTCTGTGTTTATTTTGTTATTGATGTTCAAGTGTCTACGCATTCACAGGAGTCTAAGAGGGGATACTGTCACTGTCATGGCAGATTCCCAGGAAGCCTGAGCCCCCTCACCTTGCTCATCTGTGCAATGAAGGAGTTAAACTAGATAATGCAAAACAAGCTTTCCGTACCAAAGTTTCCCTGGTTCACAGCACTAGGAATTTGGCTAGAAATATAATCAGATGTTACATATGCTAATAATTATCCTGAAAATATGTTGAAATATGGAAGGTAATACACAATTCTCTCTTTTTCCTCCCTCTTCCTTTGTCTTACTTCCCTTCCCTCCTTTCTATAATGGTTATTTTATCCTCATCTTTTATATTATTTTTATATTAATATATTATCTACATAATAATATAATTTTTATAATATTAATTTTTATCATAACAGTTACATGCTCTTGGTAACACATTCAGACATACTGTAAGGTATAAAGTCAAAATTAAAATCTTTCTTCCTGTTTTCCTCCATTCTCAGACCCCAGGGGTAACCATTGTTAGATTTCTGTCTATCATCCTTCCAGAAAATTTTGGGTGTGTATGAATGCATTCTTTAACACACACACACACACAAGGATTATCTATTTTTTCTGTAGCCCATTTTTATCAACTGAAAATCTATCTTGGACATTTTCCTAACTGTACACACAGATCTTATAAATTCTTTTCAACACTGCTTGGTATTCAGTTCTATGAATAGACCATAAATTGGCAGACATTGGTCTATTTCCAGGTGGTTGTTTTGTTTTGAGATCACGTGGAATGTTGCAATGAATATCTTTTCATATATATTTTGGAGGACTTAGAATATCCAGATGTATTTTAATGAAAGAGTAAGGCAACTTTCAAGTTATGGTCAATTTTTCCTATCACTGTTTACTGACTAATCCACAGTTCTCCCATTGATTTGAATGCCAGCTCCATAATACGCCAGGTATGCATATACGCTTGCCTGTTTTCTTGACTCTATGCTCTTCTATTCTTCCTATTCCTGCCTGTGTGACAAACCATTTTAAACACTGTGTCTTTACAATATGTCTTAATGTCAGGTAGACCTTAGAACCCTCATAATAGTCTTATTTTTCAGAATGTTTGTGTATATTCATATAGGTTTATCTTGCCAATTAGCTTTAGCATTATTTTTACTCACTTGTTCCCAATCCAGTTAGTATTTGATTGGATGGAAAATTGACATATTTTCATCATGTTGTTTTTCTAACCAGTAATGAATTTCCAAAGTCTTCTTTCAGATACTTGACTTTCAAGAACATGTTATGATACAGGATGAGAAAATGGGGAGTCCAGATTGAAGGTGACCATGGGAAGGAAGGGGAGTAACTCAGAAAGTCTTAAGAGCAAAAAGACAGAGTTCTCTGGGTCTAACATCATTCCTTCCAGGGGCAGCGCCCACAGGAGACTAAGTGGGAGGGCGGGAGTCAGGGGTGTGAGCCAGACAGTAGATGGGAAAATCAATTCTATTCACTCACTCGGTGATTTATTCAGGTCTATGCTTTGAGTAGGATGTCTTGCTAGACATTGTAGAATAGAAAGATGATTCATAATCCTTGTCCTCAAGTCTACCTTTAACCTAAAATAAATAAATAACAATATGTGTTCATGTAAGAAAGACTGAAATCCCTGCAGTATGTTAGGAACTATAGTACGTGCTACGACAGCGTTGATGAACCAAACAGATGCCATCCCTTCCACCACAGAGTCTGCAGTTTAGTGAGAGAGACAGACAAGAAATCAAACAGACTAAAGGGTGTCTGAGAAAGAGAACTGTGGGTGACCCAGGTTAGTGTGGCCAGTGGGGGTCCTGTGGAGGATATGACACTGAAGCTGAGACCTAGAAAAGAGAGCCAACCAATGTGAAGACAGGGCGGAAGGGGAGCCCTGCAAAGGCCCAGGTGTGGATGAGTCTTATTATACTTAAGAATGTATAATTAAAATTGGAATTGACAGGACATGCTGATAGAAGTGGGTGAGGGAATGAAAGGAGTCAAAGATGACATCATCAGTTTCTGATTTGAGAAACTGGATGGACAATGGAAAGATAAGAACTGGGGAGAACAGGTCTGAACAAGACATTGTTTCGTTTAGGACAAGTTGAGTCCAAGTTGAAACACATCAACATAGAACCTTTGATACACAGTTGGATATGAAATCTGGAACTCCAAAGATAGTTTGGGGTAGTATTCACAGAACCTAGAGCAGGGATCCATTAGGATAAAGGTACTATTTAAATCCAGTGCCCTATCCTCCAGAGAGTCCAGAGAGAAATTCCAGGGCAAAGTCCTGAGAAAAGCCATCATTTAGCTGTGAGGCTGAGGAGGATCCCACAAAGAAGAGTCAGGATGAGCCACTAGCAAGACAGGAGGAGAACAAGGGGGCAGAGTTCCAGATCCTACGGGGAGACCATGTTCAGAGGAGACAGTAGAATGCGTAGGATGACACTGAGCTGAGATGGGTGCAGAGCGGTGAAAGCAGGGCTGTTCCTCCATTGGGACCATCGGGAATGAAGGTGTCTTGGAGCATAGGGAGTTTTGCAGTTTGTGAGATGGTTTGAGTGTTCTGCAAAGAATATCAGCACTGTGGGTGGAGATAGGGATGTGAAAGGTCTGAAAAGAGAGAAGGCTTGGTATAGTCTGGGCAGGTGAACTCATGACAGAAACTGAGCAGGACTGGTGAGCTATAGGGAGCACCAAGTTGAGTTTTGAAACTAGGGAATTCATGTGTTTCAAGAAGCCCAGGACACCCAAGGAAAAGAGTGGTAAGGGGATGATAAGTTTGATTTTCCATTTTGATTTTGAGCTGCTAGTGGGGCAGTAGGAGATACTTAGCTCTTAGCTGGAAATTTGGGATTGACTGGAAAAAAGGCTGGTTTGGGAATTGTGATAAGATCTGAAGGCTCCAGAATGGAAAATTAAGTACACAGTTTGAAGACAGAGAAAGGTTAAGGACACAATCTCCAGAAGGCTTCCTTTTACAGGAAAAAGGAAGAAGCAAAGGATCAGTTTGTGGAGGTGTGAGGTCAAGGAAGAACGGAGAGGTGAGGAGGGGAGAGTGGGCTGTGCCGTGAGGGGAGAGTCACATCAAGGAAGAGGGGGCCCAGAAGCAGCGCCTCTGGGTTTCAGGAGTGCAGATTAGTGGTAACCTCGAAGAGAGAAGTTCATAAGAGTGATGAGAAATGAAGCAGATGGCTGAGGAGGGAAGGGCCGTCAGGACGTGAAGACAGCAGGAAGTTCAGCTGTGAGAATGGAGAAAAGAGTAGATTGTTGGGGGTAGCAAGGCGAAGTCCACTTGCTTGAGCTTTGAGACTTGAAGTTCTGTTCTCACCCAAACAGTTCCTCACCCCAACCCAGCCCCCACCTTCACCATAGAGACCCATGAGTGAAATCCACGATGTCATTTACAACCTTCCTCTACTCCTTTGAGTCTTTTATTCCGTCCCTGCTGGGAAATGCCTGCAGGTAACACCCAGTGACCCGACAAGTTTTTAATAACTTCCTAGTGACATCATTATCTCCGCTGTTTACTAGAAGCTTTTCGTTTACATGAATGACCTTGTTAACTCTCGCCCACAGTTCCTTGACCCTGATTTTATCCACAGAATCCCAGGGCCAGAAAGAACTTGCAAAGTCATCTTCTCCAACCCCAGCTTCTACCTGTGCATCTTCAGGCATGTGGGTCTCTGGTTTCCAGAAACAATATGTTTTAAGTGTTTATGAGAGGGAACGAGCAAAAATGATAAAAAGCAAAAATATTCCCGATAAAGAGCCAACAGCAAAATCTCTTAGAGAAATTTTTTTGACCTGAGGTGGGAAGGAATTTAGTTCATGCAGCACACTGTTCAGAGTTAACAGCATAGCTTTATCGTTTGTCCACAAATCCCTCATTTTACTTGTTTACCCTTGAATCACCACTCCTCCCCTCGCATGGGCAACATTTAAAGTGTATTTTTATTTACAGATGGCTCTGTAAAGCATGCGTGCTTGTGTGTTGAATTGACAAAATTGTATTCTAGGCCTCATTCTATTTCTTGTTTTTGTACTATACCATATTTTTAAGATCAGTCCATGTTTTGTGTGGCATACAGTCCACCATTTCTGACAGCTGCGGAGTGTTCTGTAACTAGCACCTGCTGCATTTGACTCATCTATTTGCCCAGGAACAGACTTTACATGACTCCAACTCTGTGATACCACACACGATGCTGTGAAGCGAGCATGTGCTGTTTGAAGCTAAGTGAGGAATTCTCTAGGATGTTTATGCTGAAACAGGAACACTGGATCATAGAGGAGAGCATACTTAGGTGGCCTGGACCCTCACCGGAGGGGCTGCATCAGTGCACACATCACCACTGCAGTGTGGTCCTTACATCCCCATTCATTCCCTCACCCCCAGGTGTCACCCACTTGTCTAGTTTTTCTTAGTCTGATGGGAGTCCAACTCTATTTTGTTGTTGTGTTAATTTCCATTTCTCTAATTGATGAGTTTGGACATCGGTTCATATGCACGTTACCTTTTTGTAGGCCCTCTTTTGTAAATTATTGGTTCATGTTTTTTGCAAATTTTTGCCTTTGGTTCCTGTCTTCCTACTGATTCATGGGCTTTCCTCTTATATTCTACATTTTAAGTTTCTCCTTGACTTTAGACATTGCAGAAATCATTTCCTAATCTGTCATTTCTCTGGTAGTTTTGTCCATAGTGGTGTCATTGCACAGAGATAGTTAATGTTGATGTGATCAAATTAAATAATTTCCACATAGTTTGTGCTTTTAGGAGTTTAAGACATCTTTCCCTACCCACAGGTCACAATTTGTCCTCTAATATTATTTCCTGTTAACTTCACAGTTTTATCTCTCACACTTAGGTGTTTATACATCTCCCTCACGTGTGGTGCTAGGTAAGGATCCAGCTTTACTTTTCTCTATTACGCAAAGCCACTTTCTCAACAGTCTTCTAAAGATTCTGTCCCTTCTCACTGATTTATGTCCTACTTTTTCCTTTAAAATTCCTTTGTAAACATGGCTCTGTCCCTGAGCTCTCTCTCCTCTCATTTTCTGTTTGTTCTTGCACAAGTATCATACTGTCTTATTACCATGGCTTTGTATTATCAGGTAGGGCTTATTCATTTCATAACTTACTTAGCAAGAGTTTACAGTAAGAATGTTCCCAGGGTCTTTTGTTGACACCACTCCCACCCCCCAGGCTTTTCTTCCACTTTGATTCAGTAAGATCCTCTGTTGGTATACATACCACCTTAGTTGATTTTTACTTTCCTTACTGTTTATCAAAAACCTTAAAGCAAATCTTGTAGAAACTGAAATCATTCATTATATCCTTAGCTTCAGGGATACTGATTTAAGATTTAGAAAGAGGTCACATGCCTCCCTGGGCTGTGGGTCTGCATCTAATAGAGGGTTCTTGTCCATTGCAGCCAGAATGGCAGAAGAGGCTGCAGGACACCAGTCTTTGAATCTCCTCTAAGTCAATCTCCCTAGACTGGCTTTGCTTGATGTGAAGTGTAGTAAGAATTGCCAGTGACCTTTCAGAGCATACAGCTAGATGTTGGGAGAAAAACACCCTGAAGTCAAGTAGAAAAGGTTCATATAGAAAAGATACTATGTTTATTTTACATAGTTAAAACTTTTTAAAAATTACCCATTGCTTCCCCTGCCACTCAATCATTATCCATGAAATAAGCTCTCATATTCCTCACCCCAAGCATAACACTTGAAGGGCTGTCTGTTTTTAGACAGGATTTTACCTTAGTCTCATCCTCAGATAAGGTTCCCCACCATGTGTTCCACTGAGCACCAACCTCTCCTCCAGCTTGACCAGCAAGTGTGTCTGTCCCTCTAGGAACGACTCAACCGCAGGAGCAGGAAGCTCAGAAAGGACATCGAATTTCTGTGGCTCAGGGCTCAGGAGAAGGAGAAATTGCAGGCTGTTCAGGTGGGGTTCTTAGGGCCTTACTCCCTGCTCGGCCGTCTGTCTGTCTCTGGAGCAGTGTGAAGTGTGTGGGAACCCTGGGGGCTGGAAACCTAGGTGCTGGACTTGGCTTTGGGGTTTGCTGGCCGAGTGACCTGGGGCAAGTCAATCCTTTGTATTGTCCTGTGGTTTACATTAAATAAAAGTCAGTCCTTCTCCACCTGGTTCATGGGGAGGGTCAAAGACAAGTGGCTCATCAATTGAAAATTACTATGCAAACCATGGGTCACCATCTCTGTCCCTGATGGTCTCCCTTTCTGTCCCTTTTGCTTACTGAGGGGTGAGGTCTCTCCTCACCCTATGACCTGAAGTGGGTTAAAACCAGGCAGTGGGAGGATATAGCTGAGCAGGTGGGTGTCTTTGTGCCCATCACATGTGAAATGGCATCTGTGGACACTCACAAGAATGCAAGGTGGGGAGGGGAGGTGTCCCTGCATCTATGACGATATAGCTGCGTCTGCAATGCCTGGGACATGCAGAGGCAACGCCACGATGGGAGAGGGTGGGAGAATCAATATTCTTGCTCAGAATATTTGGAGACTGAAGGGCCAGGAAAGAGCCATCTGACAATGAATCTTAGAGAGTCCCTCTTCTGTAGTTTCAGGAAGACTGTGGGACCCATAGGCTGGCTGCTGAGCTGGAGAGCCAGCACCAAACCAGGAGACAGCTGGATGTCCTCCCTCAGGAGTGGCTGGACCGGCTGAAGGACACACCAGCACAGCTGTCCAGAAGCTTTGACATCTCCAGGGCAATAATGAAGCTCAACAGACTGGTCAGTGATCTGGAGGGGATGGCCAAGGAATTGGACACCAACATGCTGAAGGTGCGTACCCTGAGGCACCTCTGACTGGAGTTCTCCCCAAATAGAAGGCAGCCTACCTGGAGCATCCTGTTGGGAGGTGTAAGAGGGAGAGGCTTCTCTGTGACATGAGGTGGTAGCCTGTCCAAGGCTGCACAATGTGGTTGCAGCTCAGTGGGGTGCACAGGAGGGGTGCTGTCCCCTCATATCTCAAGGTGACACTACAGAGGGGCATCAAATAGTAGGCTGGGGAGGAAATTTGGAGGTGGCAGGAACCTGAAAAATAACTGTGTGATTCTTACTCTCTTTCTCTCTCTCCTAGGATGCCAGTGACTTACTGAGCAGGTATGAGGCATCCCATTGTCCTCCCAGAGTGCTTACATGTACAGACCCACACAAATAAGACATGCATGCACATGGGCTTTCTCAAGGTTAAGGAGATCTGCTGCTTCATTAGCTTGTGTTTCTTTGTGCTACATGGCAGTGGAGAGTCAATAGAATATACTAAAGGATTTCTTTGTTTCTAGGAGTGCTCCACAGAAATTAGAGGCTATTTATCCCAAGTTAGAGGAAAGAATCAGCCAGTCACTTCTCCAGCCATCCTCAGCAGGTTGGCCCTGCTCATCCCTGAATCACCTCATCTCAGACCCACCTCAGCCTTCTCACTCTCCTTCCTCCAGCCTGTACAGCCTCTAATTAGGTCCACCCCATATGTCTTCAGGATGGCCATCCTCTGAACATGACCCCCTTTCCTCATCCCAACAGCTGTGACCTGATGTCTGGCTCCCTGACACTTGGACAGTAAGTCACAGACTCTTCCTGAGCCAGGCTTGGGCTTGTGGCTTCCTTGGCAGAGGTCAGGATTCAAGACCTCCATTTGGCCTGTGAACTGACAGTAGCATCCATCTCTCACCTATAAAAAATAGGAGTACCAAGGTACCTGGATAGAATCAGCTCACCAATGGTGAGGCCACCTCTGCATGTGGGCCAGCAGATCTGTTGAGCTCCTGTAACCCCTGTTGTCAGTACAACTCTCCTGGCACTTATTCATTATTATTCTTAAGGCAGACAGACTCTAGGGTAGTGCCCTGTGATCCTGCCCTCTCAGTGTTCATGCCCTTGTGTGATCTCCTCTCCTTGAGTTAGAACAGGACATGCAACTTGCTTCTAATCAATGGAATATGGCAAAGAGGATGGTGTCACTTTAGTAACATTGCTTAGGACTCCTCCTTGCTGGCAAACTCACTCTGAGACTCTCCTTTCTGAACTGATAAAGTAAGTAACCCTATGGCAAGGACCAGTGGGAAGCCTCTAAGAGCTGAGAGCAGCCTCCAGCCTTCAACCAACAAGAAGCAGGGGCCCTCAACAGCTGCAAGAAAATGAATTCTGCCAACAGCCTAAGAAAACTTGGAAGTGGATTTTTCCCCAGTTGATCCTCCAGATGAGAACGAGTCCAGCTGACACTTCGATTGCTGCCTTGTGAGACTCAAAGCAGAGGACTCAGTCAAGCTGTGCCCAAACTCCTGACCACACAACTGTGATATACTAAATGTGTGTTACTTTAAGACACTAAATTTGTGGTAATTTTCACAGAACAATAGATCATCAATATGTTTATTTGTGCACATGTCTCACTTCTTTGGGTGAGTAAGGATCATAACCTCTGTGTCCCCAGTGTCTAGGACAGTGCCTGGTCATAGTTGGTGTCCACTGAGGTTTATTACGTGGATGCATGGATGAATTAATAGAAAGTATAAGGGCCCTTCCTGATCCTCCATCTTTACCAAAGGGAGCCTTTAAGCAGTATTTATTGAGCCCTTGCTAAAATGGTCAGTGCCATACTAAGCACTGAGGGGCCTAAAGAATAAAACATGGCCACAAGGAGGATCTGCATCATGGTGCAGAATGAAAACTTAGACTTGAATTCAAGTCCCAGCCCCAATATCAAATACCTGTGCAAGTTACTTAGCCTCTCTGGACTTCAGTACTACCCCCTCTAAAATGAGGCTAATTGTACCTGTGGCTTGGGGATCATTGAATTACAGGTTATTATATATGCAGTGCCTAAGAGGTTGTAAACATTCAAATGAGTTAATTCCATCTTCTTATTCTACTTCTCCATCCAGAAGCTTGTGCCCTAGCTGTTGTACCAGGACAAACACATATGGAATAACAAGAGAATGTGTAATGGAGTAAATTAAGTGAGGTGGGGAATCAGAGCAGAGACAAGAGTGAGGCTGGGTTGGCTTCATGGGGAAGGGTAGCAGGAGAGAAAGGTGAGAGCATCCAGGTAGGGATAGCTACACGAATGGAAGCATGGAGGTAGAATAAAAGCCACAGCACAGCTGTAAGTGTACAAGGCAACTGAGTTAGTTAATCTGGAATATTCAGCAATAGGTAAGCAGAGTGACACAAGACAGGGGCAGTCACCAAATTTTTTTGAGTCAGGAGTAAAGGGAACAAGTGGTGTTTAAGGAAAACCAGCTTCCACTCTTGGTGCAGGACAGATTGGAGATGGGAAGTTGGGGCACTGGGGGAAGGAGAAAGAGCCTAGTGTAGGTGTTCAGAAAAAGAAGATATAGTTACTAGGCAGGAAGCTGTAGATCTCAGAGAAACATGAGACCCCAAAACTGAGAACAAGACATTAGCTAATAAAGCTAATAAAGAACACCCTTGGAGGTGATGGCACATGGAGAATCTGTCCAGAAGTATCCTACCAGGAGTCAGAGGAAACTGAAGAGCCCCAAGGAGAGTCAGTTATCCTGCAGGCGCTGCCAGGCCTTGTATCCTCTTCTGACATGACTACAGATGACTGGGCTGGGGTGGGCATCGGACCAGCAGATGGCTGGCCGGTCAAGACTATAAGGTGGCCTGCTGAGAAAGACCTTATCAAAAAAGGGCAATGATAATGAAATGAACATTTTGTAAATCCAAACTGGATCTATGATGATTGCATCATTAGTTGGTGGGAAGAGCAGCAGCAGAGGGAATCAGAGCTGACATGTGGCCGTTTACCAGGGCAGGTGTCCATGACCTGTGTTGCTGCATGGCCACAGGATAATCCAGTCTCTAAACTTCCTTGGATCTCAATTCCCCTTCCTACCAGTCCTTGGTCACACAGAGGGAGCATTACATACTGGTCATGGGCACAGACTCAGGAGCAAAGTACGTGAACTCAGCTGTGCCATTACTCTCTAGTGTATGATGGGTGTTACTGCTGTGTCCTTTGCTATCTGTGTATGGGACCAGTTACTCAACCTCCACATGTCTCGGATTTCTCATGTATAAAATGGGGCTACTAATGATAGTACCTACCTTATAGGGTGTTGTGGGATTCACATATAAAATACTTAATACAGAGACTGGCCAAAATGAGCTCTACATGTGTTTGTTATTATTATTAGGATTTAAAACGACCTCCATTTCTTCCTTTGGGACTTGGTTGTGTCCTGCCACCGTTCCCACCACACCAGCCAAAGCTTCCCACAAGGCCTGGCTAAAATCTCATTTTCCTTATTTACATGTCTGTTCTTACAATACATTTTCCTATTATTTGGACTAATTTGAGCGAGTCTCTGTACTTTGTAATAGAAAGAGCTGCTCAGTGTAAGCCATGAAAAACCAGGTGTAAATTTGTGGTTGTCACCAGAGTGCACCACTCTTGGAGTCTTGGAGAGGGCAACTGGGAGCCTGGGGCTGCCATAGGCTTTAGCACTTCCCAGGGTAGGGAAGCCCAAGTCCAGACTCAGTGACACGCAGATCATGGAGGTTCATTGAGCTGCCTTACCTTGCAGCTGTCCTGTTAGGATCTACCCACTTGCCCTGCACTGACTCCATACTCCCAAACAGGCCAAGTTCAAGTAAAATTGTGCTGGGAGAGGTACAGGTGCTGATGCGCCAACCTGAGTATTTTCACCCACTGGTAGTTTTATTTTTCAATGTGGAAAGTATAAATTGTCTTTCTGAATCCAAGTCACTTGTGGGGAGTGTGACCAGCATTAAAATGTTCACCAGGACCCACCCAGGAACCTATTTCTAAACAAGGCAATATAGCATAGCTATTAACAGCTCGTGAGTCATACATGGATTAAAATCCTAGTTGCATGGTCTTGGCTGGGCAAATAACTCACTAGGCCTCAGATTTATTAACTTTAAAATGGGATTATAATAGGAACTACCTCACAGAGTTACTGAGACTAAGTGACAAAATGCATGTAAAGTCCTCCAGCAGGCAAGGCTCCTCATATGTTTACTCCAGAGGCTAATACACATGTTAAAAGACTCAACTAAAACCAATCAAAGTAAACAGAAAAATACAATCCACGTTTTGGTGGAGTCCCAGGTTTGGGGGCTTTGGATATGTTTTATCGTTATACAGAGACTTGTTTGTGTCTACCTTTTTTTGAATATGCAACATTTCATAGAAAACACTGACCACTCCCAGAGAAAGCAGTTCAGTCCCCCTCCAGTCCCTGGTTCCTGATCTTCATGTCCTTTGTACCTACCCAACAGATGATGAACAATATAACTTCTCAGGTGATGTCTAAGCCTTGGGCTCACATGCTGTGCCCTTTCCCATGAGGTCACACCCTGGATGCTTCACTCCTCCCAGGGGCCCCATGGGGAAATGATAGAACATTTTCATTTAGGTCTGAGCAGAGATAACGTTAAAGAGATTTTCAGTGAAGGGTATGTTTAAACAGGATAAAAGACAACATCAATAAGAACTAGAAAATGAAATATGTTAAGACAATCCTTTTATTGTGCATAGGATTTAAAATTCCACTTTGGAATAACTGAAATCATTTTCCAACTTCTAGGCAGCCATGTGTCTGTGAGTGCTCATCCCTGTCCCAGAATCTTCACCAGGCAGGGGTTTCTGGAGTCACCGGTGCTCTGCTTCACACCGACACGAAGCCAGAGCCTCACCAGTGCCACCTGGCTTCCTGCCTCCAGAGCTCTCCATCCCAAATCCACATATTTTCTCCAGTTCCCGAATTCTCACCCTCTTCCACCCTGTCCCTCAGATGTCACTTCTTGTCCAGCCTTGGAGCAGTGTCAACTCTTTGGGTTAAAGGTCACAGTTGATCCAATTCACCCTGCCTACACCTGGTATCCTTTTACCCAGCACAAGGGTATGGATGGTGCTATTTCTGTTCCCACCGCTGAGCTCTTTAAGACTCATTCCTATCTACCACCTCCTTTCTCAACCTCAGATGGTGCTCAATAGATCAGGAAGGAGATTTTTCCCAGGGTTGAATGAGGTCCTTGAGTTACGGTTTGTGGCCATGCTTCCCACCAACCCCTGCATTTTGATCTCAGCTAGAAGTGGAACCACCAGGAGGAGGGGGCCCCTGAGCGGTGCTGGGTGAGGAGGCAGCTCATCTGCTCACGAGGACAATGGAGGTGACTCAGTGTCCATGGTCACAGATCATCCCGCCAGTTCTCTGCCAGCCCTTCTTCTGAAGATGCTTCTTCCCTTCCTTCTCTCATCCTATACTCATCTCCTAGACTGGCCCTTTCCAGAAAGCTGCCCCTGACTCACCACCTGCCAGACTAGGCTATGCCCCTCCTCTGAGCTCCCTTAGCTGACCCGAGTCAGCCCTCTCCCAGCCCATTGAGCAATAGTTCCCTCCTCGCATCTCTGTGGCTTCCCATGAGCTCCCTCAGATACCTGACAAGTTCTTTTTTTCTTTTCGTATCTGGACGGTTTGAATAAATGAACCCTAACATTTTTGGAAGAAAACAGGATGAAGAGAGGTGAGGTGCCTTGCGTAAGATCGCACAATTGGTTGGTTCCAGGGCTGGGTCTAGAGCCCAGGTATTCTGGCTCCAAATCCAGTACTACTTCCTCTCCACAGCTACCTCTGTGTCCAGTGGGGATGATGGTGAGGAAGGCAGGCAGTGACCAGAGTCCCTGGACCCTGAACATCCCTGGGGCTTGGGCAAAGGGCTTGATCAGCAAGTTAAAAGTCATGGCACCTTGTCCCTTGCCAAAGTCTTGACTGTATCACATCATCTAAAGCAGTAATTTACGTTCCAAATCTTCCAGGTGATGCAGCCAGACATCAAGTTCAGATGGTCTTCTACTTGAGCCTAGTATCTCAGGATGAGTAACTGCAACCTCTTAAGAGCTCAGGGAGAAACTGGACCCTCGGCCCCAGAGCCCAAAGAAAGGAAAGACCTTCTGGGTGAAGGAGGCAGTGAAGGTGTAGATGGGCTCCTGGGTGACGGCATTGACAAAGGTCACCCAGCCCACTTCATAGTCAAGAGATACCTGCACCTGCCGAGGCTGCTCCTCCAGGGCCAGTCGCGTGGGGAAGGAGCCGAGTGCCGACACAAAGCCCCAGGCCAGCCGCACAGCCCACACGCCCTCCTCAGGCCGCAGCCGCAGCTCCCCCTTGCGCTGCACATCCTGGCTTACCACGCCCACGGTGCAGCTGCCACCATGGGCCAAGTCCACGCTCACCACCCACGTGTGTCTCCCCCGCGTGAAGCCACGATGGGCCAGGACACAGGTGGCTCTGTCAAAACGCTGAGGGGTGTCTGGCGAGTTCTGCCATTTGTAGGAGAACCGAGCCCGCTGGTGGTCCTCAGACAAGAGGAGCTTGGGGTGGGAAGTCTGGGGATCTAGGCAGATGTGAGCTGTGGGGAAAACCAAACGGGACACAGATATCAGCAGACATGTTACCCCCTCCAAGAAAGGCCTACCCTCTGCTGTTACCAACCCTTACGGTGCCTGCGTGGACTGGCAGCATGGGTGCCACATGGAACCTGTTAGAAATACAGACTCTCAGACCTCAGCTGCACAACCTGAAATGGTACTGCATTTAACAAGATCCTCAGGTGACTCTTGCACACATAATGCCCACCTCAGAGGACGCCCAGCTGCCAGATCCAGGCCCTCATCTGGCTCTGTGCGGCCCTCAGCTCTGCTCCCTGCAAACTCCTTGACTCCCAAAGCTGTGCACCTGCTCTGATTTCCTCCTGCTGCCCACGCTTCATCCTCCCACTGTGGTACCTCACATCTTGAAAGGCAGAGACATTCTCCCCTTGGTCCAAACTCCCTGATTCATAAGTGAATGAGCACCTACAACTCATTCACATTTACTTCCAGTGGGCTCTCTGGCTCACCTGCAGATTACTTATTCTGCCTCTAAACCCTAAATTCCAAAATTCTATATTCTAAAATTTTGTCCCTGTAATTCTAAAACCATCAGGATCTGAGGACCACTTTGTAACACTAAAAAAAACTTCTGCAGACCCCTGCATATCCATAGATTGAGACAAATTGATAAATTCAGATATGTCCAAGGGCTGAAGGGTCCCTTCCAACAACTCTGTGACTTCCCAGGGTCTTTGGCTGATGGACTGGGAACCACAGCTTTGAGAGGGGCCTATCCTCTCTATTCCTTTCCCAAACACAGGCTGCCTCCCTTCTAAATATCATCTATGAAATGGCACTTGAGAGGAAGTAGGGGTTCCAAATGGTTCTAAGAATGAGATTCTAAACCCAGATCAAAGTTCCCCTCGTCCAGGAAGCCCTCCCTGATAGACCCTGTCCCATCCCAGCTGAATCTCTCTATCCCCTCATCACATGTAGATCAGAACATGAGCTCCATGCCAGGCGTGTGGCATGTGTGTGCGCCTATCCTTTCTTCACGGTTCTCCCACAAACCTTACAAAGGCAATGATGTGTGTGTATGTGTGTACATATACAGTGTATATACAGTGTAGATCCCTGCAAAATTATATGTCTGTTCCAATTTTAGATTCTTCCCATCCAGACATAGGCTGCTTACCTGGCTCATAGTCCAACTCAAAGCAGAGTTTTTCTGTAAAGAGGGAAAAAGGCAAGAGAAGGTTTTTGTTAGTGTCACAAAACCACACAACATTTAATGATGACAAAACTGAGGCCTAGGGAGGGGAAGGGACAAAGAGAAGGATGGAAGCTGGAACCCTCTAGACTAGTGATTCTAAATCTGAGCTTGCATCAGAGTCCCCTTGATGACTTGTTAAAACCCTTTTCTGATTCAGGTGCCTGGGCTGGGGCTGAGGGTCTGCATTTCTAACAAGTCTACAGAGGATGCTGCTGCTGGTCAGGGTCTCACTTTAAGACCCACTACCCTCACCCTGAGTGGGCACAGGCTATGTCTGCTCTGCTCACCTCTGTAGCCTCGCGTCTCACACAGAGCCCAGAACATAGTAAATGCTCAAGAAACATCTACTTAATGAATGGATAAGTGGGCTAATTTATTTCTTGTTCTGACTGGAAATAATTTTGGGGGTTGTCAAAGATCAGCCTTTGATTAGAGTAATATTTCATTCACTGCCAGGTCCCAGGGAGTATTTGTAGAAGTGGACAGACAGTAGAGAGAGCTCTTCTAGGTGACATTTTTGTGGGTGGAACATTTAGAAATAGGTGACTTCATTCATGATGTCCCTGGGGGTGTTGGCAGAAGGCCACATGACTGTTATTTCAAAACCTCCACATCCTCTCCTGCCAGCACTCCTGGTTCCAGAAAAGAGGGGCATAGTCCCCAGAGCGTCAGTCCAATGCTGGGAACCAGACCAGTGGGAGAAGCAAGGGAAAGAGGAGGTAGGGAAGTTGGCTACACAGGGCAAAGACAAAGGCTGTTGCTGACTATCAATTAACAGTGTCCATCATCAAAAATATCATCCGCACATGTCTCTGGATTTTTTAAATTATTGAGAATGACAGATTTTGTTAATCATTTTTTTCTATTGCTTAATGCCAATTGATCAGATTTATTTGTTTAATTCTTCTTCAAATCAGTTAAATTTTTTCCAGTGGTCTTCACCTTTATTATCTCTCTTCATTTTTACATCTTCCTGAGAAGCAGATTTTATGAAGATGCGCAAATAAGGAAACCAAGACACTGAAAGGGCACAAGCCTCAGCAACAGTCACACAGCACTGGGAGTGGGGCATGGAGGCCACTCCAAGACCCATGCTTACGGCCACCTGTGCTCTGTGGTGGCCTGGATTCCTCTTACCCAGAAACATCTTCATCTCCCTCTGCAGCGGGATGGCTTGCTGGGGAAAGTCCCGAATCCTCTGGCCCAGGTCAAGGGACACAGCCTCGGGTTTCCGGCACTTTCTGGTTTCACATCTAGGGGTACAGAAATGGTGGGGCCTGAGGGTTACCATCCTTGGTGTTGCCTCCAGAATCATATGGCTGCCTTCTTTGACTTGGGCATGGAGGTGCCCATTCCCACAGGTGGACATGCTTCCTCTAGGATGGCCCCACTCCCTCTCTTGGGCAATGCTATGCAGGGGTGTGTATTCATACATGAGAATGCATTTGAGTAGGTGAACATATATGTGTGAATTTCTACCCTTAATGTGAAAAATGTATATTTGTATGGCAATAATAACTAGGCATGTAGTGCCTGTATGTGTATGTATGCGGGAAAAAAAGAAAAGGAAAACTGGATTACTTACCTTATTAGAGTGCTTCTGATATCCTAGGAGAAAGAGAGAGAAAGCAGGGATTCAGTTTTCACTTTCCTCCTCCCACCCTTCTTATAACTAGAAAAGACAAAATACCATATTCCAAGCACTGGATAGAAAAAGAACCCCAGATCCTAGTGTCACAGAGTTTTGGGGTTTACAGGGTTTCAGGGATCACATATGCCAGCCCCTTCATTTTACAGATGCATGTGGTGGGGTGAACTTCCCTGCCTGCTGGTTGGAGGTGAAGGCAAGTCTTGTCCCAAGGCCTCCTGGTGCTCAGTCCCAAGTGCATCCCCCTAGATCATGCTGCCTCTCTGATACTTTGTTGGGAACCCAGGATCTCCCCTCCACTTAGAAGAAGTAAAATAGACCTGTAAGAACTTCCTGACTGGTGGAAGTTTGCCCTGAAAATAGCACCTGACATTTGTTCGGGTGTGCTAGATGCTTTTCAAAGTGCTGCTCTCACTTGCATTTTACTGCTGGATTCACACTAAGCCCTTGTGAGGTAGATAAGGAAAGTATCTTCCCTATTTGATGGATGGTGGGATTGACAGACAGAGACCAGGAGTAAAGTGAGCAGGGAACTCTTGGGGAAGCAAGAACTAGAATTCAGAACTTATCCTGTGACCCATCTCTCACTCGGGATGCAGGGACGTGTGACTGAAGGAGTGAGGCTTAGACAAGGTGAAGAGGCAGGACATCTCAGGCGGGGCCGGCTCACCGTCAGGAGCTCCCTGGGCTGCCTCTTGCTCTTTTCCTCCAGTTCCGCAATCAGGGCGCTAAACCTGCAGATCTCCCCAGCCACCACGACATCAAACTCGTCCTGTTGCTTCAAGATTTCCCCATCCAGCCTCTCCAACTGGGCCAAGAGGATGCTCTGCTGCTCCTCCAGGAACTGGCTCAGATGTGCAAACTCAGAAACCACTTTTTGTCTCTTGGTGGCCACCTGGGTCTGAGAGGGCAGGACGAGGGGCCTCAGGAAGTTACTCCTCCTCTCCCTCCTTCCCTTCCTCACTACTTTTTTCTTCTTTTTCCTTAGTTCACTCCCACCTGGCCCAGAACACATTCTCCAAGCTTTGATAGCAAAATCAGAGCCTGCCGCCTCCACCTGGGTCCCTAGGCCGACTTGGAACTGCCCCACGGTTGCCCTTCTAACCGCCACACCTCCTCTGGGAGCCAGACTGCCCAGCATTGCCTCAGCACCTTCTGCTGGAACGTCTAAAAGAGTGGGGCACAGAGCAGGTGGTGTGGACAGCTTCCCTCCTGCTTCTGCGAAGTGCCCAGTATGTGCAGGGCACTAAGCTGCATTACAGACACAATCTCGTCCAGTCCCCACGTGGTTCATGAGACAGTCACCATCTCTACTTCACAGAACAATAAATAGCCTAGAGAGTTGCTTGAGGTCATAGATTAGTGTGGGAGGCAGAATTCAAACTCGGAATGACTTCAGAGCCCTCTCTGCTCTGTGGCCTGGTTCCAGGGAGGCACTGGGCCCTGGGGAAGGGGAGGGCCCAGGGAAGCGATGATCACCTACCAGGAGGACTTGTATCCTTTGATTTTCTCTTGACTGGATTTCTTGAATCTCCTCTCTCTCTTTTCTCAGACACTCAAGACACTTCTGTATTTGTTCCTGGAGAGAAGGGGCATAGATATTTAAGAGGGAAACAATGCTTTGTTAATAGATAACATCTCTTGCAACCCTTTGCCTGCAGGGATGGAATGACCCTCGGGAAGGAGTCATTCCTGGACATTGCCTGCGCCCTCGTGGTCCTTGGCAGCTTCCTCTCTTTGGGTTGTTTGCCTCTTGCTTTGTTCTCCAAGAATTTTGATCAGGGCTTTCCCCCCTCTATCATGTGTCATCACAGACTATGACTCGGTTTTCCCACCCGTGTTGTCCTGTCTTCAGGATAAATATCCTAATTTTTCTTGCTTTTGGAAAGTGGCATCTGGAATCTCTCCTGAGCTTGATATGCCCTTCTTTGAAATGATTCCAATTTCCTCACATGTCCCAAAGAGTCACCCAATATCCCTCTCTAGTGAATGGAATCGATTTTCTCTATGATTCTGGAGGGAAGAAGAAACTTGGATAATGCAAAAATATTCAATGTATTATTTTTTAAATTTCTTGCCCTAGATAGAGTTATGAACAGGAATAGACACATAAATGTCCATATATGTACATTCAAAAATATACTTTCACCATAAAATGCTGATTAACTAATTGACACATATACACAGATGCCCACTTACACTAAAACACAGTACATAAACAACTAAAACCAGCACACACTCATTTAATGACAGATAAAGTTAACCCAACCTGCATATATGTAAACACTAACTTATTCACAAACACAAGCACTCAGTTACACTTACACATTCAAATGTCAGACCTCCCCCAAACACATCACACACACTGGTAATGATCAAACATTAATATATATCCCACATTGTGCAATCATTCCCTCAAATTCAAACCCAGACATTCTCAGACACACACACTCACATTTTGGTCACTCAGTCATTCAACAGGTATTTATTCAGCTTTTGTTGTGTTTGGCCATGAGTAAACAACACAGAACATGCCCAAAACACAAACAAATGGTCTTCCATGCCTGCATCTATTGCCTGAGTGAAGAGAGAAGTAGGGAGATAGAATCTGGCTTCAGAGTGGCCCCAGTCATCCACAAGTCTGCTCTGATTGTCAGTCCAGTCCAATCCCAGACCACCCTGGGAAGCCCCGGTCCCCCTTTCCTACCCTATAGGGACCTGCTGCAGCCTCCAGGAAGCGTATGGTGTGGGCTTGGTGCTCCCAGGCCTCCCGGCACACCACACACAGCTGCACCTCATCATCCTCGCAGAAGAAATAGATTTTCTCTCCGTGCTCTGGGCAGATGTCCTCCTCTTCCGAGCCTGGTGTGGACACCAGCCTGAGGCGCTCGATGTTCTCCACCACACTGGCCAGCTGCCAGTTGGGCCGGAAGCTCCCTGGATGGAAAGGCTCCTTGCAGAGTGGGCAGGTTGGGGGCTCCTCAGGGTCTGGGCCTGGGATCTCGCAGTACCGGGTGAGGCATCCGCGGCAGAAGTTGTGGCCACAGGCGATGGTGACTGGTTCCCTGAGGGTGCCTTGGCAGATGGGGCAGTTGACCTCATCTGCCAGGCTGGTCACAGAGGTGGCTGAGGCCATGGTGCTGCTGTGCCTGTGGCCTCCTCAAGATCACACTGTCTACTGGGCTGAGAGGGAAGGGCTGGGAGAACCATGAGGGGACGCACACATGCATGCACGCAGAGGCAAGGCATCCACTTGCATGCCAGGCTTTTACTGTCCTCCTCCCAAAGCCACTGGGCAGGCAGAGAGCAGCAGAGGAGCAGGAGGAAGACGACCTCAGTTACTCTCAGGAATGGCCTGGGGCTTGCCTTTCCTCGCCTGTCCATCCACAGACACTCACAGTAGCAGGAGTGGTGGTAACTGCCCACAGCTGAAAGAGGTTGTTCTTTGGAAGGCAGGACGGAGACTGGGTCATGGAGCAGCGATGGCACTCCAGCTCCCCTGTAATGCTACCATCTGTCTCCAGGGAGATTGGAGATATCAGCCAGCCCAGGGCTGGCAAGTCAGTGGGCAGGGGAGTGTGGGGATCCAGATAAGGTTGTTGTGCCTAAAGGAACATTGCACAGGCAACTTCACTGGTGATGCCCCAGCTGGCCTGCCATAGGCTTCCAAAGAGACTGGGATATACCCAGTGTCGGGGAGGAGAAGGAAAAATAACAACAGCCAGCATTTATTTATGATGACTATATATACCTCATGCTGATGTAGGCAATTTAAACACATAAACTTATTTATTTGTCCTGTCTGCTCTATAACATTGGTGCTATTAGGATATCAGTTGGGCTCAACCAGGTTATTTAGCTTGTCCAAGGTACACAAGTAGGAAGGTGGGTGGCCATAATTTTCACTCAGATCTGTGTGTCTCAGAGCCTTGCTGTCCAATAGAAATACAAGAGCCACATATACCATTAAAAATTTCCCATTAGCCATATTTTAAAGTGAAATTAACTTCAATATTTTACTTAGCCCCAAATATTAACATTTCAACATTTAATTAGTACAAAAAATTTGTAATGAGGTATTTTGTATTTTTTAACTAGTGCTAAGTTTTTGAAATTTGGTGTGTATGCTACACATGCAGCACATCCCAGCTGGAACTGGCCACATTCAGGGCTCAGCAGCCTCACATAGCTGGAGGCCCCTGTGTTGGACAGCACACCTCCAGGGGCTACTCCTGGGAAGGGGCCAGTAGGGTGGGAAAGATGATACACAAAATAGTTGAAGTGAAAAGGGAGCGAAACAGGATTCAGGGCTGATGGTTCAGTGGCAGAACGGAAGTTTTTCCTTGGTTTTAACCACAGATGCCTGTGACTGGATGAAGAACTGTGGCTGCTTGATCATCATCTTGGCTGAGGTCAGGAAGAGCCCAGAGCTGGCAGCTGGGAGACTGGATTGACCCCAACCTTGTGGCTTTCTGGCTCTGTGACTTATGGGAAGTAACCTTGCCTGTCAGTTTACATTTCCTTCTCTGTAAAATAAAGGCTCATATAGCTCCAAAGGGTTGTTACCAGATTGAATAAAATAACATGAACATTTTAAGCCTAGATAAGTGTGGTTGAATCTATTTATCTTTTTGACAAACTGACTTTTCTAAGGCTTATCAACATGAATCATTTGTATTATAGTTTCTTGCCTTCTCCAACCTGCAGTTAAAAAATAAAATTGAGGTACAATGCTACTCAAGCTCCAGTGAGGACACTGATGTTGGGAGGCGGAGAGTTAGGAGTTTAGGAAAAGCCAGCCTGGGCAGATGAGGTGAGTTGGGAAAAGGAGGGCAGAGGCAGGCACTCGGTGAGCACTTCCCCCACCAGCCTGGACTTTGATGCTGTGGACACACCTCAAAGCCAGAAGTTTATGGCTCCCACCTGCTCAGTCGGACAGGAAGCAGCGTATCCTCTCCAGTTCTCTCCACCCCACTGTGGTCAAGGTGGGGATTCCAGGAAACCCCATCTCTCTGTGACCTCCTGGTATTCTGTTCCCCAGCCCAGGGACCAGAAGGGGAGGAGCAGAAGAGAACAAGCAAACCAGGATGCAGCTGGGAAATACTGGGTAATTTGAGATGCCCTGGAGTTTGGACCCACGATGGGTGGTGGCTGAGACTCCAGGGAAGCACAAAGGTGGGGCCTTGCCTGTTGGGACATTCTTGACTTCCTCTCACTTGGCCTTCTATTGCTTTCCCTCCATGACTCAGTCAAAAATGACTCTATTGCAGGGACAGGGAGTTCTTGTGGCCTGAGTGGAGGGCTGGGGAAGGCACTGTGATGCTCTCAACCTCTTCCCATGAGGGGGCCACCTGTCCTGCCTTCAAGGGACCCCTGAAGGACGCAATGACAGCCACCTGTGGACACACCTTCTGCCAGCTGTGCCTCCTCCCGCCCTCCCAGATGGGGGCCCAGCCCTCTGCCAGAGTCCTGCTCTGTCCACTGTGCAAGGAGAAGGAGCAGAAGGAGACCCTCATGGTCCCTGTGCCCCTGGGTCCTCTGGGGGAGACTTACTGTGAGGAACATGGTGAGAAGATTTACTTCTTCTGCGAGAATGATGCTGAGCTCCTCTGTGTGTTCTGCAGGGAGGGTCCGACCCACCAGGCACACACTGTGGGATTCCTCAACGAGGCCATTCAACCCTACCGGGTAAGAAGCATGGCTTTAGCTTGCGTCTGTTTGGGGCCAGACAATATCCTGTCCTCGTGAAGGGAACAGGTGAGAATCTGGATGAAGGACCACAGCTTCCACACTGGGGGACTTGGAGGCTGTAGGGACACTGAGGATACTCCCAGACTGAGGGGACCTAGTTCCACCTGGTTGTGTGGTCATTCACAGTCTTAGGGGGAACTAGCTCCAGCCCTCAGAGGGTACCCTGTTGATGGAGCACAAAGAATTGGGAGGAAAGAGAGCCTGGTGCAGAGAGGGGTCTCCTGCAGACCATAGGCAGGGTGAACCCTTCTCCAGAGATCTGGCCTGGGTATGGCATTTGTCAAGGTCCTAACCAGTGGAGTTCAGAGGGAAGAAGGGCAACCTGCAAGTTCTGCTCTTCTTTTTGAGAAAGGAAACTGGGAAACTGTGACATACCCCATCTGGTCTTGGTCATCTATTACCTGCTCCTGCCTACCTGCTCCTGATCTCTCATCATCCAGTCACCAGGTCTGGAGGTGGTTTCCTCAGAAGCATCTCTCAAATCTTTAACACTGAGTTATCTGCACAACCACTACCAAATCCAGGCCTCAGCATCTTCTCCCAGACTTTGCATAGTCTCTAACACATTCCCTGTCTTGATTCTCACCCTTCCAATCACTGTCTAATCTGCTGTGAGGAGTATCTTCCTAAAACACAAACCAGATCGTGTTGCTCCCGTGATCACAATCCTTCCACGGATCCCTAGTGCCCAAGGAAAGCACTCTGGGGAGACGTTCATGGCTGTGTGCAGCCAAGATCCTGCCTTTCTGTCCAGTCTCATCTCTCAGCTGCCCTCCCCAAGGCAGGGAAGACCATGTGTCCAGCCACATTGACCTATACGTACCTGCTGTTTCCTGAACTGTTTTACTCTTTCCTGCTTTTGATACTTTTGAATGTAGTTCCTCCCTCCTCTCCCCTCATTCTTTTTTTAAAAAACCATTTTAACAATTTTTAAGTGTATAGTTCAGGGGCTTTAAGTACTGTCCTCTCCCCATCTTACCCAACTGGAAATTTTCAGCTTTCTGAAATACCCCCTTGTCCCTCCAGGCAGAATCATCCCCTCTGTGGCCCCATTTCACTGTGTGCATAACCCAATTACTGCATTTATCTATTTGTACTTTAATCACTTGTGATGGTCACCTTCCCCAGATGGTGATCTCTCTGAGAACAAAGATGGGCCTTTTTCATCCTTGAATCCCCCAGCACTCAATAGTGTACTGGAACATGGTCAACAATTAATACCTCTGAGTTAAATTATGAATTAAGCCACCTCTTCATGCCCATTCTTCTCCCCACAGGACCATCTCAGGAGTTGGATGGGGGCTCTGAGCATGGAGAGAAATGAGATTGAAGACATAAAGAGTCAGGAAGACCAGAAGCTCCAAATGCTTCTGGTAAAGCTCACATCATTAGCTACCTTCTCCCTTGGGGGATTTCTTCAGACACTCTGGGGAAGCTTGTCTGATACCTATTGTGTGTCTGGAAAGAACTGACAAATGGTTCTCATTCACCTCCCTGCCTCTGCACAAGGGCATTTGCAGGTCAAGGTTGTGGAATCCCAGAGTATCAGAGCAGGAAGTGGTTCTGACATCTTCTAATCCAAGATTCATCTCATCAGCCATTTTTTTACAGAGCAGAAAACTGAGGTCCAGGAAGTTGATATTCCCCTAAGGCCACACAGCAAAACTCAAGTCCATGAAGGAATAGCTAGAAGCCAGGCCTCTTGAGTCTTAGGTCATTGCTCTTCCCATCCCAGTCTGTCTGCCTGAAAGTACTGCCTTCAAACGGGAAGCCAGGGACCAGAAGGTGTATATTAACATCTTCTTTCTGGTCCTGACCACTGAGAAAAGTAGGCTAATGGATGGCTATATATGGCTCCTTCCCATCTCTTTTTTTGATGCTACAAAGTTATCAAAGAGGAAATCCACTATGTGAGAATTTCTAGTGCCTTGACCAACAAGGCAGTTTTGAGACGGAAAGACATCTCCAGCATCTCTCAACTCCCATCTAAGTTTGCCCTGTAGATGAAGCCCTCAGGGGCTATAATCAATGCCAAGACACAAAGACACAACACATCTTTCCATAAATTGTGTTGAATCTAATCATGGCTTCCTTTTTCTTCAGTTGCTCTCTAAGAAATCACTATAATCATCTCCAACTGATTCTAGGGAAGGAATGGTAAGGTTAGGATGGTATCATAAACGTAGAAAGATATTTGAAAAGTTCAACATGGTTCTGAGAGCATAATGAAGATTAAGTATTAGACTCTCTGGGTAAGATAAGAGCATAGCCCTCGTCATTAGTAAGTTTATTCTGAGACCCACCTACTTCTACCATAGTATTATTTGGGAGAATGAGTTTGGAACTAGTTGCTCCCTATCTCTCCTAATCCATAGTAAGTATATAGATGAGCCTCCTGGGACCCAGCTCTGTGAACTTCTCCTTAACCATGTCTGTCTTTCTACACCTTGAAGACTCAGATTGAAAGCAAGAAGCAGCAGATGGAAGCAGCTTATGAGAAGTTGCAGCAGGAGCTAGAAGAACAGCAGTGTCTCCTGCTGGTGAGGCTGAGGGAGCTGGAGCAGCAGATCTGGAAGGAGAGAGATGAATATATCTCGAAGGTTTTGGAGGAGGTCGCCCGACTTGGAACCCAGGTCAAGGAGCTGGAGGAGAAGTGTCAGCAGCCTGGAAGTGAGCTTCTACATGTGAGAGACACTCTGCCACCCCTGTGGGATAGGAGAGGGATTCCACAGGAAGCGGACCCGTGCTGTGGGCTGGAAGATGCTGGAGAGAGGCAGGAAAGGGAAGTGGAGATTATTTCTAGAGAGAGGGACTGATGGTTATCAGATGCCTTTGGCCCAGGGAGGTTACCAAGGTGCAGACCTAGAAAGGCTCGCTGATGTGCCCACACACTGTGCTCATGTCAAGGGCTTTGGAGTCAGACAGCCTTGGGTTTGAGTGCTAGCTCTTCCCCCTTGGCAAGTCTCATAACTTCCCTAAATATGGGGTAATAATGGCACCTCCCTCACTGGGTTGTGGCAAAGATTATAAGAAACAATCTGTGCAAAATCCTTAGCATGGTCCCTGGCTCAAGGAGGCCTTTAGTCTGATGAAGAAGCTGAGACCTAGAGGGTGCAGTGCTTGCTCAAGGTCACACAGTGAGTGACAAGCAAGGACAGAGCTGGAACCAGAACCAAGGGCTTTTTCACCACAGTTTATGTTTCTTTTCAACTCCCTCCCCCCACCTTTTCCCCTGTAATGAACAGCACACACATTGGAAAGAATAGTTTAAGGCTATTGTTCAAATGGTGCTGTACTGTCCTCTAGAGGCTTATAGGAGTAATGACCTTTTAGCCTCCATAGGCCCATTCTCTTCAAGGACTTATCTTTAATTCTTGAGGACTGGTTACCATTTCTCTTAGGACTAATTGAAATGTCTCTTGCTATACATTTCTAGCAAAAGTAAGGAGATGATACTCAATCTAATTATTCACCACAGACACCAAGATTCTTTTTTTTAATTTTAATTTTTTATTGGTATCATTAATATACACTTACATGAACAACATTGTGGTTACTAGATTCTCCCCATCATTAAGTCCCCACCACATACCCCATTACAGTCATTGTCCATCAGTGTAGTTAGATGCCATAGAATCACTACTTGTCTTCTCTGTGCTATACTTCCTTCCCTGTGACCCCCCAATACATTATGTATGCTAATCATAATGTCCCTTTTTCCCCTTATCCTTCCCTTCCCTCCTATCCTCCCCAGTCCCTTTCCCTTTGGTAACTGTTAGTCCATTCTTGGGTTCTGTGAGTCTGCTGCTGTTTTGTTCCTTCAGTTTTTTCTTTGTTCTTATACTCCACAGATGAGTGAAATCATTTGGTACTTGTCTTTCTCCACCTGGCTTATTTCACTGAGTATAATACCCTCTAGCTCCATCCATGCTGTTGCAAATGGTAGGATGTGTTTTCTTCTTATGGATGAATAATATTCTATTGTGTATATGTCCCACATCTTCTTTATCCATTCATCTACTGATGGACACTTAGGTTACTTCCATTTCTTGGCTATTGTAAATAGTGCTGAGATAAACATAGGGGTGCATATGTCTTTTACAATCTGGGCTGCTTCATTCTTAGGGTAAATTCCTAGGAGTGGAATTCCTGGGTCAAATGGTATTTCTATTTTGAGTTTTTGAGGAACCTCCATACTGCTTTCCACAAAGGTTGAACTAATTTACATTCCCACCAGAAGTGTAGGAGGGTTCCCCTTTCTCCACATCCTTGCCAATGTTTGTTGTTGTCTTTTGGATGGTGGCGATTCTTACTGGTGTGAGGTGATATCTCATTGTGGTTTTAATTTGCATTTTTCTGATAATTAGTGATGTGGAGCATCTTTTCTGCTGGCCATCTACATTTCATCTTTGGAGAAGTGTTCAGATCCTCTGCCCATTTTTTAATTGGGTTATTTGTTTTTGTTGAGGTGCATGAGCTCCTTGTATATTTTGGATGTCAACTCCTTATCGGATATGTCATTTATGAATATATTCTCCCATACTGTAGGACGCCTTTTGTTCTACTGATGGTGTCCTTTGTTGTACAGAAGCTTTTTAGTTTGATATAGTCCCACTTGTTTATTTTTGCTTCTGTTTCCCTTGCCTGGGGAGATATGTTCATGAAGAAGTTGCTCATATTAATATTCAAGAGAGTTTGCCTATATTTTCTTCTAAGAGTTTTATGGTTTCATAACTTACATTCAGGGCATTGATCCATTTTGACTTTACTTTTGTGTATGGTGTTAGACGGTAGGTAATCCAGTTTCATTCTCTTACATGTAGCTGTCCTGTTTTGCCAACACCAGCTGTTGAAGAGGCTGTCATTTCCCCATTGTATATGCATGGCTCCTTTATCATATATTAATTGACCATATATGCTTGGGTTAATATTTGGAATCTCTGTTCTGTTCCACTGGTCTGTGGGTCTGTTCTTGTGCCAGTACCAAATTGTCTTGATTACTGTGGCTTTGTAGTAGAGCTTGAAGTTGGAAAGTGAGATCTCCCCTGCTTTATTCTTCCTCCTCAGGATTGCTTTCGCTACTCAGGGTCTTTTGTGGTTCCATATGAATTTTAGAACTATTTGTTCCAGTTCATTTAAGAATGTTGTTGTTAATTTGATAGGGATGGCATTGAATCTGTAGATTGCTAAAGGCACGATGGCCATTTTAACAATATTAATTCTTCCTATGCAAGGGAATGGGATGAATTTCCATTTTTTAGTATCCTCTTTAATTTCTCTTAGGAGTGTCTTGTAGTTTTCAGGGTATAGGTTTTTCACTTCCTTGGTGAGGTTTATTCCTAGGTATTTTATTCTTTTTGATGCAACTGTGAATGGAACTGTTTTCCTGATTTCTCTTTCTGCTAGTTCATTGTTAGTGTATAGGAATGCAACAGATTTCTGTGTATTAATTTTGTATCCTGCAACTTTGCTGATTTTGGATATTAGTTCTAGTAGTTTTGGAGTGGAGTCTTTAGGGTTTTTTTATGTACAACATCATGTCATCTGCAAACAGTGACAGTTTGGCTTCTTCTTTACCAATCTGGATGTCTTTTATTTCTTTGTGCTATCTGATTGCTGTGGTTAGGACCTCCAGTATTATGTTGAATAAAAGCGGGGAGAGTGGGCATCCTTGTCTTGTTCCCGATCTTAAAGGAAAAGCTTTCACCTTCTCACTGTTAAGTATGCTATTGGATGTGGGTTTGTCATATATGGCCTTTATTATGTTGAGGTACTTGCCCTCTATACCCAATTTGTTGAGAGTCTTTATCACGAATGGATGTTGAATTTTGTTGCATGCTTTTTCAGCATCTATGGAAATGATCATGTGTTTTTTTCCTTTTTTGATGTGGTGGATGATGTTGATAGATTTTTGAATGTTGTACCATCCTTGCATCCCTTGAATGAATCCCACTTGATCATGGTGTATGATCTTCTTGATGTATTTTTGCATTCAGTTTGCTGATATTTTGTTGAGTATTTTTGCATCTATGTTCATCAGGTATATTGGTCCATAGTTTTCTTTTTTTGTGGTGTCTTTGCCTGGTTTTGGTATTAGAGTGATGCTGGCTTCATAGAATGAGTTGGGAAGTATTCCTTTCTCTTCCATTTTTTGGAAAACTTTAAGAAGAATGGGAATTATGTCTTCTCTAAATGTCTGATAAAATTCAGCAGTGAATCCATCTGGTACAGAGTTTTGTTCTTGGATAGTTTTGTTCTTGGGTAGTTTATTGATCACTAATTCAATTTCACTGCTGGTAATTGGTCTGTTTAGATTTTCTGTTTCTTCCTGGGTCAGTCTTGGAAGGTTGTATTTTTCTAGAAAGTTGTCCATTTCTTCTAGGTTATCCAGCTTGTTAGCATATTGATTTTTATAGTATTCTCCAATAATTCTTTGTATTTCTGTGGGGTCTGTCATGATTTTCCTTTCTCATTTCTGATTCTGTTTATGTGTGTAGATTCTCTTTTTCTCTTAATAAGTATGGCTAGGGGTTTAATCTACTTTGTTTATTTTCTCAAAGAACCACCTCTTGGTTTCATTGATTTTTTTCTATTATTTTATTCTTCTCAACTTTATTTATTTCTTCTCCGATCTTTATTATGTTTCTCCTAATGCTGACTTCGGGCCTCATTTGTTCTTTTTACAGTTTCAATAATTGTCACTTTAGAGTATTCATTTGGGATTGTTCTTCCTTCTTTAAATATGCCTGGATTGCAATATACTTCCCTCTTAGAACTGCATTCACTGCGTCTCACAGAAGTTAGGGCATTGTGCTGTTGTTTCCATTTGTCTCCATATATTGCTTGATCTTTGTTTTAATTTGGTCATTGATCCATTTATTATTTAGGAGCATGTTGTTAAGCCTCTATGTGTTTGTGAGCCTTTTTTTTTCTTTGTACAATTTATTTCTAGTTTTATACCTTGTAATCTGAGAAGTTGGTTGGTAGAATTTCAATCTTTTTGAATTTACTGAGGCTTTTTTTTTGGCCTAGTATGTGATCTGTTCTGGAAAATGTTCCATGTGCACATGAAAAGAAGGTGTATCCTGTATCCTGTAGATGTCTGTTAGGTACATCTGTTCTAATGTGTTGTTCAATGCCCCTGTGCCCTTACTTATTTTCTGTCTGGTTGACCTATCCTTTGGAGTGCGTGGAGTGTTGAAGTCTCCTAGAATGAATGCATTAGATTCTATTTCCCCTTTTTATTCTGTTAGTATTTGTTTCATATATGTCGGTGTTCCTGTACTGGGTGCATATATATTTGTAATGGTTATATCCTCTTGTTGGACTGACCCCTTTATCATTATATAATGTCCTTCTTTATCTCTTGTTACTTTCTTTGTTTTGAAGTCTATTTTGTCTGATACTAGTAGTGCAACACCTGCTTTTTTCTCCCTATTAGTTGAATGAAATATCTTTTTCCATCCTTCACTTTTAGTCTTTGAAGTGAGTCTCTTGTAAGCAGCACATAGATGGGTCTTGTTTTTTTATCCATTCACTGACTCTATGTCTTTTGATTGGTGTATTCAGACCATTTAAATTTAAGGTGATTGTTGATAGGTGTGTACTTATTGCCAGTGCAGGCTTTAGATTCGTGGTTACCAAAGGTTCAAGGTTAACTTTGTTACTATCTAAGAGTCTAACTTAACTAACTTAGTATCATATTCTGTATTCTTTGTCTATCTCTTTTGATTTTTTTTTTGTATAGCAGTCCCTCCAAAATACACTGTAGAGATGGTTTTGGGCTCTAAATTCTCTCAGCTTTTGCATCTCTGGAAACTATTTAATCCCTCCTTCAAATTTAAATGATAATCTTCTCATATAATGTATTCTTGGCTTGAGGCCCTTCTGCTTCATTGCATTAAATATATCATGCCATTCCCTTCCGACTTGTAAGGTTTCGGCTGAGAAGCCTGATGATACCCTGATGGGTTTTCCTTTGTATGTGATTGTATTTCTCTCTCTGGCTGCTTTAAATCGTCTGTCCTTATCATTGATCTTTGCCATTTTAATTATTATATGTTTTGGTGTTGTCTTCCTTGGGTCTCTTGTGTTGGGAGATCTGTGCACCTCCATGGCCTAAGAGAATATCTCCTTCCCCAAACTGAGGAAGTTTTCAGCAATTACTTCCTCCAAGACACTTTCTATTCTTTTTCTCTCTTCTTCTTCTTCTGGTAACCCTATAATACAAATATTGTTCCATTTGGATTGGTCACACAGTTCTCTCAGTATTCTTTCATTCTTAGAGATCCTTTTTTTCTCTCTGTGCCTCAGCTTCTTTGTGTTCCTCTTCCCTAATTTCAATTTCATTTATCATCTCCTCCACCATATCTAGTCTGCTTTTAATACCCCCATCGTGTTCTTCAATGATTGGATCTCCATCCTAAATTCGTCCCTGACTTCTTGAATGTTTTTCTGTACTTCCATGAGCATGTTAATGATTTTTTTTTTGAGAGGGCATCTCTCATATTTATTGATCAAATGGTTATTAACAACAATAAAATTCAGTATAGGGGGGTCAATGCTCAATGTACAATCATTAATCCATCTCAAGTCTAATTCTCGTCAGTCTCCAATCTTCTGAAGCATAACGAACAAGTTCTTACATGGTGAACGAATTCTTACAGAGTGAATAAATTCTTACATGGTGAACAGTACAAGGGCATTCATCACAGAAACTTTCGGTTTTGATCATGCAATATGACCTATAAACCATCAGGTCAAATATGAATATTCATTTGATTTTTGTACTTGATTTATATGTTGATCCCACATTTCTCCTATTATTATTATTATTTTTATTTTTAATAAAATGCTGAAGTGGTAGGTAGATGCAAGATAAAGGTAGAAAACATAGTTTAGTGCTGTAAGAAGGCAAATGTAGATGATCAGATGATCAGGTGTGTGCCTATGGACTAAGTATTAATCCAGGCTAGACAAGGGCAGCAAGACATCCACGGATGCAGAAGATTTCTCTCAAAGCAGGGGGGGTGAGGTTCTGAGCCTCACCTCTGTTGATCCCCAAATTCTCACCTGATGGCCCCCCTGCGACTGTGCCTGTCTTAGGTTGTTCCTCCCTTGAGGAATCTTACCCGTCTCTGGCTAACCAGTCATCTTCCGGGGCCATACAGGGAAATGTAAAGTTGGTAAGTGAGAGAGAAGCCATATTGTTTGCAAAGGTTAGCTTTTTACTTCTTTGCAGATTTATGCCCTGTGGCTTCTATGCCCAGCACTTGTCTCGAGGTATCTTTACCACCTGGAGGAATTATGATACTCGGTAAATTCGATATGAGGCACGAATTCTATTTAAGGGTTGTAATTAGGAAGGAAGAAGAAAAGCTATAGATGTAGCATATGAAGGAAACTTGGGAGGATTGATTATTTCTTTGACATATCTTCTTGTATAGTACCTTAAGTATGTATAGGTTTTAAACTACTAACTAATTTGCACACACATATTAACATAATAGGAATACGGTGACATAAACAAAGCAAATCTATAATTACCAGCCATCTCCAGTGAAGCCAAGAAAACCATTTAGGCACCCTAGGCATTTGTGAAAATTTATCTATGATATGATGGATATTTTCCAACTGTACTTGAACCATCAGACAAATTAAAGCAGCCCATTTCTGGGATCTGTTCACATCCCATATGTTCTTTTAACCATAGATAGTCTATAGTCATGAGATTTTGGGGTGCTACAACTTGCACCCCTCCCAACTCCTGGTTGAGTTCCAACAGTACAGATCCAGTCAAATTCGTTGTCTCACTGTATGCACATGCCAGCCTAGACATCTCCCTCCTCCTTCTTATGGCAAGTCCAGGAGACGGTGGGCTGGATGCAGCCACAACCGCAGCATCGTCCGGATCCCTGTGGAGGCTTTTTGATGATCATCCCCCGGCACTAGTCCTCCAGAGAGTGCTGATGCCGGAAGCTCCTCCTCATATCGTATCTTAGTTCATTTTCTGCGTATCCATAATGATTTTTATTTTGAAATTTCTTTCAGGAAGATTCATGAGGTCGATTTCACTTGAATCTTTCTCAGGTGTATTCATAATTTTGCTTTGAACTAGGTTCCTTTGATGTTTCATAATTTGTCTGTGGTGCCCTCTAGTGCCCAGAAGCTCTACTCTCTGGAGCTGCTCAGCCCCTAGAGTAATGTCGGGGGTTGCAGGAGAGTGGTGTTGGTGCTTGGTGGGGAGGAAAGAGCTGTTTCCTGCTTCCTGGCTACTATGCCTGTCTCCACTGCCAGAACCAGTGGGCCAAACACACAGGTATAAGCCTCTATGCTTTGTGTTTGTAGCTGCTGTAGGTGGGCCTTCCCTCTGGCTGACCTGATGCCAGGGCATGAGTTGCTGATTTGCAAGCCTGAGCCAGGTACAGGCTAGCCAGGAGGAAGACACAGCAGGCTGCGTATCACAGTGGGGGCCCCTAAGCCAGGGGGATGGAGCGCCTGAAGATCATTTAAGCTCCCGACCTGCTAGGCAGAGTGCATCCAGACAATTTTGTCTACCTGTCCTTTCTCCTGAGCAGTTAAGTTCTGCAATCCTTGCCCCTTTAGCAGCCCTCTCGCTTTTAGGGAGTCTCTCAGACTGCCCACCCAGATCAGCCAGATATGAATCCCCGTTTTCCACAAGCAGCTGGAATCTCTGTCTCTCCAGGTATTATTTAGCTTTCCAACCACACTAAATCACCAGAGTACCATGCAATGTAGGTTCATGCTCCCAGAACAGATCTCCAGGGCTAGGTGTTCAGCAATCCCAGGCCTCCACTCCCTCCCTGCTCTGTTTCTTTTCCTCCCTTCAGTGAGCTGGGGTTGGGGAAGAAGGGCTTGGGCCCCGCTGAGTCACAGCTTTGGTACGTTACCCTGTTCCATGAGATTGCTCTTTTCTCCAGGTGTATGCAGTCTGGTGCAGCCTTCTTTCCTGTTGCTCTTTCAGGATTAGTTGTATTAAATTATATTTTCATATTATATGTGGTTTTAGGAGGAGGTTTCTGTCTCACCTCTCATGTCGCCATCTTTAATCTGATCTCCAGACACCAAGATTTGTAAGTCTGATTTTATCCTCAGTCTGTGTGACTCAAATATTATTTTTGGAATTAGAATCTAACTGGCTACCAACTTGTCTGAAGGTGTGAGATGAAGACATTTGTGAGTCCAGAAGCCATTTCTCCTGACCTTGTCAAGAAGATCCACGATATCCACAGGAAAACTCTCCCCCTCCCAGAGATGCTGAGGACATTCTCAGGTAAAGCACAAGGGGCAGCAGCTTTCCCCATTCCCATTAGTTGCCCTTCTGCCTTCTATTCATCTCCACCTTTCCTCATCTTCCAAAGCTGGCTCAAGACATCTTCCCTCCCTTAAGCCTTCCCTTAGGGCCCCTGTCTGCTTGGAGCCACCGTTGCCTAGAGCATCTCCTCCTCGCCCTTGTGCACAGGCATTGGTGTGTACAGGGATGTGAGGACAGCTTCCCTTTCATTAGACCACAACAGAAGCTGAGCCTTCTCCCATCCCTGTCCTCACATTGTTCCCAGGACACGCTGCCCTTGGGGGAACCTGGACATCACAATAAGTCACAAAATAAGATTTTTCTGTTTGTGCTTCCTTCAGACAACTTGGCGCATCATCTGGAACCAGATTCAGGTAAAGAGCTGAGGTTTCGGGAACCATTCTTTCATTCACCCATTCAATCCCAGGCAGCAAACAGCAATTAAATAAATGAGCTCTGTAGACTCTGTTCTAGCTTTTGCTATTTATTACAGCACAGGATAAGTCATTAAGTCTCTTTGTCTCACAGTTTCTTTATCTATAAAATATAAAATGTATTAGTACTTACCCCATAAGTAGCTGTGAGGTAAATGCATTAATATTATTAATACTATTAAGACTTATATTAATAGTATTAATATTTATAATGGAAATATAGTAATATAATTTTAATATTAATACTATAATATTAGGGTAGTACCCAGCACATAGTAAGTGTTCAATTTACCAAGTCCTTGTTTTTTGCCCTGCTTTGTGCTGGTCTCTACTGACTTGAACAAATACTGCAAAATTTAGTTTTTAATAGCATTTTCTTTGAAATTGGTGCTTAATTTGGAAACTATTTCCACAAATACCACCTCATTCTGCTTCTCAAACTTAATACAGAAGAAAAAGCACGTGGGGGATCTGGTTAAAATGAGATTCTGATTCAGTAGGTCGGGGATGGGAACCAAAACTGCATTTCTAACAAGCTCCATGAAGCCGCTGGACCGCACTTTTAAAAGCAAAACCTAACAGCACAGCACCACTTGAAGAGCTGTCATCCTCTGTCCCCAGGGAGCAGAAGGGAAACTGAGGTTCAGAGAAGCCCGGCCAAAGGCAGCGCACAAGGCCGCTGCTCTTCCTGCCGCCGTGCATCGCCGGTGCTCTAGGGGCCCTTTGGTGCCGCCGGTTCTGTTTACGTCCGCGCTCTCCTCCCTCCCAGGGGTGTTCGTTCTGGACCCTCAGACCGCCAGCCGGAGCCACGTCCTCTCCGAGGACAGGAAGTCCGTGACGTACACTCGGCAGAAGCAGGACCTGCCCGACAGCCCGCTGCGCTTCGAGGGCCTCCCGGTGGCGCTCCTCCTCGGGGCGCCACTGCTGGCAGGTGGAGGTGCAGTTGGGCGCCGGCGGCGGCTGCACGGTGGGGGTGGCGAAGGAGGAGGTGAGGAGGAAGGGGGAGCAGGGCCTGAGCGCGGACGAGGGCCACTGGGCCGTGATCATCTCGCACCAGCAGTGCTGGGCCAGCACGGCCCCCGGCACCGACGTGCGGCTGAGCGACATCCCGCGCCGTGTGGGCATTGCCCTGGACTACGAGGCGGGCCGGGTGACCCTACGCAACGTCGAGACCCAGGCGCCCATCTTCACCTTCACCGCCTCTTTTTCCGGCAAAGTCTTTCTTTCTTCGCTGTCTGGAAAATAGATTCCCGCCTTACTTTGCTAGGCTGAGGTGGAGCTTCCGCAGGGCGCCAGCAGGAAAGCAGAGCCCCGGGATCCAGCCCCGCCCTGTTCAGCCGCGCGCCGTCGTGGCCGCATGACACGGGGTCTCGAGTCCCAACAGCTTTGTGATTATTTTTCTTTTATTTATCCGGGACGTCCTGGTCTTCCCACAGACGCCCCGGCCTTGGCCTTCTTTGCAGTTTCAGAAACACCAGCAAAATTGGGACCCTACGGGTTTCTGAGGGGAAAAAAAGGCTAAAATATAAAAATTTTAAGCTTCATAATAATCAACCTTGGAAAAACTAGGACTAATTTATACAGTTGACTGTTTTTATTTTGACATACAATGGGGTTACTTTCACCTTTACAGGGCTTAGGGTCTTTACTCCAGCTCTGTGTGGACCCAGGTCCTCTTCTTTTCAGACAACCTTCAGTCATTTCTTCTCTTGCAAAGAATGTCCTAATAAAGTATGCCAGCCGGCCAGACTTCTACATGTCCTGTGTCTCACCCGTTTTGACGCAGCTGAAGGAGAGCCTTAAAGCCAGCGGAATCTCTGTGACCAAGACACAGCCCCATCCCTTTTATTTGGCTCTTGCTTGATGGAAGTTGGAACCAAACCCTGTTGTTCAGTAAAATGAGGCTTGTGTCAAGTCTAACCTCTGGAATATTAATTATCGGACGCAGAAACAGACCACACATTAAAATAACTTTACAAAGCAAGAGCTGAATCTGTAAGAAAGCTGATTGCTGCACCACCACCACAGGTCCTGATTCTGGCTCTCTCCTCTCAGATTTAACACTAAGAGTCCTCCACTCCTTCCCCAAGCCCTGAAAGCATTTACCATCATCCCCTATCAGGTCCCCTCTGGTATAAGTCTCTATGCAAGAGTACCTTCTTTATCATATGACCCCTGCTCTTGAAGTGTGGAATCAGATGTTTTAAAGACACTTTAAGAGCTTTTATCATATGCAAATTTCATTACAAAATTGTAATAGGAATCACTGTGATGTGAATAATTACCCTGAATTTAACTGGGCAAATAGAGGTCCTTCACGAAAGAAGAAGCCAAGTAGATGACTTGGGGGTTCTTCTGTCCTCCTGTCAGGGAGAACTGCCCTGGTCTAACCTAAGAAAAATTCAAGTTGTTTGGTAGTCCATCCTAGCAGGGGTAGTAGTACTGCTTAATGTTTATTATAAAAGTAGTTTATGCTCATGGTTAATCAAAGAGTATAGGTGAAAAGTCCCTCCCTCCACCCCACCTCTCAACACTTCCTCTTAACACATCCCAGACATAACCACTGGTATCAAATGTTTGTATATCCTACCATGTTTTGTATACAAGTGTATTTGACTTTGTTAAAAAGAGATTATATCATAAAGAAAAATGATATGCAACACATGCTTATTGTAACACTTGTCAAGCATTACAGAAGTCAAAAGTACTCATCTTCCTTTGAAGCTTATGCCAAACTTGTGAAATACTTAAGACTTGTTTTTCTCACTCTGTGGTTGGGAAAATTGGCACACAGTGAAATGAACTTGTCTAACAAGCTTCACAGCAGGTCTTTGTAATCTGCTGAAGTAGAACCTACAGGTCTGGGCCCTGGTCCCTCAGTCCAGTGATGTTTCCACCACACTCAGACTTACTGAACAGACAGATCACAATGGGCCTTTGTTTCACTTTCTAAGCACTGAATTAGTGGTTTAGACAGGCAAGGCTTTTTTGGGTGTGTGTGAAATAGAAAGAAATGAATGAACAGCTTACACTGTATTTCCAAGCTGCTAGTTCTTTTAATATTAGAATGAGTACTCCAGGTAATTTAGAGGCTTGGATATGCCCATTTGGAGACTCTGAGCCAAAAATTAAATTGCCCTGCATAAGAAAGAAGGGAAGATTTTAGAAGCTTTAAGGGAAGGCTCAGGAGTAGACAACAACCAAGGATGAGTTCTAGCTGCTGCCTGGAGGGAAATTCCTTAGAAACTCTCCTTTGGAGAGTCCGAGGATATTCACGTTGCAGTGTTAGGTAAAACCATCCTGTATTTCCTCTACAGGATCCTCAGCACAACCTACCTTGGCCTCACTGCTTTTGTAAGCTGTTGATTTCTGGTAATATGAATGTTGACTTCTGTCCACCAATGAGGGGGAGGCAAAAGAGATCCTACAGAACATGAGTAGAGCCAGCAAGCCTACCCACAGACAGAAAAATGGGTCCTACACACAGAGGCCAGGCTGCTGGATTATGTGAAGAGCAGTCATACACAAGGTGCCACAAAGAACCAGAGGGGATACTTTAAGGACCCAGGTAGTGTCTGTAAGGGGACTCTTTCCAAAGCCCAAGAATGGTGAGTACACGAGGCTGGATGTGATGGGAACTGGAGCCATGGCAGTGGTAGCTTGGCTCCATGTGTAGGACCCATTTTTCTGTCTGTGGGTAGGCTTGCTGGCTCTACTCATGTCTTCTATTTTCCTGCTCATTTCAAATCTTCCTTTTTTTAACTTCAGTGCAGAGAGTTAACTCAATCACACTCCTCAGTTCTTGGTACATAATCATTGGCAGCCCATGCTAGGCCTTCTTGTTTTATTTATATTTTCTCCTTTATCTCCAATTCTTATTCCCATTCTCCTTGCCCCATAGACAGCCAGCCACTTTCTAAAGTTTTCCATATATCCTTGGATACAGAGGGAGCCTTGAATATATACAGCACAAGACTAGTTCTAGTCATGTGTTGTATATACATTTAGTTTATGGCTTCTTTAATAAAGGGAAACCTCTCTGACATGGCAAGGGAAGCCAGCAGGGGGAGCTTTCATGCCCACTACTTTCATCAATTGCAGACTTCCCGCCCAAACCTCCCCCTGCACCAAGAACACACTGACACCTTGCAAGTCCTACTACTGTTTTAGCTACTTTCCTACCCAGCAGGAGGAAGCAAGGCTTCTCTCTTCCCTGTGAACAGCCCAGCCACAACTCAGTCAATGAGAGGCCATCATACACAGAATGCCCAGATTACTCCAAAGGATTTTTTGTTTCAAACAGCCCTCTCAACTAGGCCCTTTTCCCCTATAAAAGAGGGTTCTTTCTTTTGTTCTCTGGACTTGCCTACGTATTTGCTGTAGCTTGTATATCCTGAACTGCATTTTTCTACTCTATTTCTGAATAAACGTATTTTTTCCTGTAAAATAACTGACAGTTTTATTTTTAAGGTTAGCACTTCTAAAGAGTATAATGTAGTGTTTACAGTAATAGTAATATAGTATTTCATAGTATTATTCAGTATTCTATAGTACACATCTACCGTATTTTATTGTACCTTCTTTTGGGAAAGAACATCTAGGTCACCTCCATTGGCCTGTGACAAGCAACATAGTGATGAACAGCCTCATACTTTTCCCCTATGAGTCTGTGTAAGATATATACCATGAGTGGATGGCTGGTATTCACACACTTAATTTCCTTAAGGATGACCAAACTACTCCCTAGAATGGCTATATCCATTTACACTTCCACCAGAAGGGCCCAGAGATTCCAGCTCCCTCACCCCCCATAATATACTATCAAACTTGCGTATTTTTGAAAATCTGATGACTGTAAAGTGGTATCTCACTTTTGTTTTATTTTTGCCTTTTTCTGACTACTTATAGGTTGTGCATCTCCTTTGTCTGTTTTTTGCCCACTTTTCAGTTTCCTTTCTTTCATAGGCTTCCAGGAATTTGTTGCATAGTCTAGATATTAGTCTCTTGATCATTTCAGATTTAAAAATATAATTCATTTATTAACTTGGATAATGTGTTATTCATTAAATAGAGATCTTGAATCTTGATAATACATTTAATAAATTCTTCACTTTGTGGTTTATATTTTTAAGATCTTTCTCACAACCACAAAATCATATATATAGGTATATCCTTTTATATATATTTACACTAGTTTTATAAATTTACTGTACATATTGATATCTTTGGTGTATATGGTATAAAGAAGACAACTAATTTTATTTTTCTATATAGTAAGCCAGTTTTTCCAACTCTATCTACTTAAATAATACACTTTATTCCCTTGATTGGTGGTGCCACTTCTTCTAATATACCAACATCCCATGAATACAGGCATTGTTTCTGAGATTTCTATTCTGTTGTCTTGAGCTATTTATCATTTCCTGAACCAGTACATTCTTGTTTCTTATTGCTGTGACTTTGTAGTACACTTTAATGCCTCATAGGGCATCTCTCCCCATTTTGTTTCTTTTTCAAATTTATCTTAGGTAGACATTTATGCTTCCATATAAACAGAATCAATTTGTCTGGTTCTTTTAAATTAATGCTGATGCTCTTTTAACTGAAATTACACTGACATTGATTGGTGGAAATTAGTTTGCAGAAAATGGATGCTGTCATCCTATTCATAAACATGTTAATTCACTATGGCTGTTTAGATCTAGTTTATGTCCTTTAGTTGGATTTTGAAATTTTCTCCATAGAACAATTTGGCAGTAAGTAGTAACATGCCTGTCCTTTGACCCAGTAATTCTCCCTCTAGAGAAATATTAACACATTTGTACAATGAAACATATTCAAAAGAGCTCAGTGGCGTATAGTTTAAAATACAGAATAGATAACAAATTTTAGTATATTCATATAATATCTACCTCAGGGCCAATGACTGTGGCCAACAGTACCTGGCACAGTTCATAGCCCTTTGGCTTGGTTATTAAGAGAGTTCAAACCCTGGCTCTGCCAGAGGCAAGTTACTTAGTATTAGCTTCTGAAGCTTAGTCTCCTCATGTGAAAAAGAGATCAAAATACCTATCCTATAGGATTATTATGAAGCTTAAATTAATTAATCCATGTAATCTGGTTCTGAAACCCAGGTCCCATGTGGGGTGGGAATGGGGGTTTTCTACAAACTACAGACAATTCTCTGGACACCAGCTGGGTGTCCTGCAATTCAACTTAATTCTGACACTCTTTACCCTGAGGTAGCATCAGATTCCACAGGTTAAGGGCTC